GTCTTTCTTTCTCCCTCACTTCTGAAGGATAATTTTGCTAAATATATATTTCAAGGTTGGTAGGTTTTTCCTTTCAATACCTTAGACATTTCAGCCCACTCTCTTCTTGCTTGCATAGTTTCTGAAGTGAAGTCTGATGTAATTCTTACCCTTAATCGTCCATAAGAGGTAAGAGGGTTTTTTTTTTTTCCTCTCTGGCTTCTTTCGAGACTTTTCTCTTTGTCTTTGAATTCCTACAATTTCCTATATATTGACCAGTTTCAACTTTTACAGACACCCGGGTCTTATCTTATCCCATGTTCTTCATTAGTAGTTTTTTGCTCTCTGAAGAATGATTTCAGGTCTTGGAATTTGCCTTAGAGATATGTATGTGTATGAGCAAAATGACTATGTCCGAGCTTATTTATTGCAGAATTGTTTGGAGCAGCAAGAGACTGGAAACAATACAAATGTCCATTAACAGGTGACTGGTCAAATACACCGTGGAACATCCATGCAGTGGGTGACTATCTAGCTGTGGAAATGACTGAGCAACTAGATTGTGCACCAGTACAGAGTATTCTCCAGGCCGGGCGCGGTGGCTCACACCTGTAATCCTAGCTCTCTGGGAGGCCGAGGCGGGCGGATTGCTCAAGGTCAGGAGTTCGAGACCAGCCTGAGCAAGAGCGAGACCACTGTCTCCAAAAAAAAAAAAAAAGAATATTCTCCAAAATATATTGTAGGGGGAAAGCAAAGCAAGACAAGAGCCAAAGGATGCATCTCGCACACTGCCGTTTGTGAAACCAAAAGGGGAGGAGTGAGGCAAGCATGTTTTTTCATGAGTGCGTGAAATATTTCTGGAAGGATGAAGACACAGACAGCACCAGTTGCCTTTGCAGAGGGGAGCTGGTGCCCTGGGCACAGTGCCTTGGGGGAGACTTTTGCTGTGTAGTTTTTCCACCTTTTGATTTTTGAATCGTGGGAATCCATTACCTAGTCAATGAATGAGTGAATAAATGAATGAAGGAATGAATGAACAAATATGAATAGATTTTATTCAAAGAAAAGAAGGAAACTCTTCCAACAGCCTGGAGTTGGTGGATGAGGAGACTCACACATTTATTGAATACCTATGCTAGCAAGCTAACCTGATTATCACACGATGCCCCCAACACCCCTGGGAGGTATGAGGTTTGTACCCATTTCACAGATGAGGAAGCCTGAGACCAACTGCCACCAGGAAGTGGCAGAGCTGGCTTGGGGCCCGTCTGACCGCGGCTGATGGAGCTCATTCCAGTGGGGAGTAGACAAGGTAGCTTGACGTCCTGCGCCCCAGTGACAAGAGCAGCAGGGCCACCGGGACCCCAGTGGGGACTCCAGGTGCGCCCAGGGGAGCCAGAGCTGCCGCCACCGCACCTTCAAGCTCTCCCGCCCCCCAGGGCAGAATCACCTGGTTCTCTCCCCAGGGGGTTTTCAGCTGCTGGATTAATCCCAGCATCTCACTTCCCCCATCTCCGAAAACACAATCCAGTTTCATTTAGGTAGAAAAAAAAACCACACATAAGCCATAACACTCAGTTTATCCCTTGAAATATTATCAGGCTGAAGGAAAGAATTAATTTTTAATTCCATCTTAATTACTCAGAGAAATAATCTATCGGCAGAGCCTGGCCCGGGGACGCCCCTGCCTGGTGTCCGCCGGCTGCTGCTGGCGCCCCGGGCTCGCTCCAGGCGCGGGCCGGCAGGGAGAGGCGGGGCCGGCGCTGGGGCTCCCACACGCACGGTGGCCTTTGCTGCAGAGAAGTGTGACCGGAAGACATTAATGTGCCGTCTCACCTGTCATCTTTCCTTCAGAGTAATGTCGGATTTCTTTAACAAAGCCACTAGCCGTGCTGCTCGGAGACACACAAAGGGGGTGTATGGGGCACACCAGATCCTCTGTGACCCTGAGTTGGCAGGATGGGGCTGTTTCTTCCTCATTGTTTTGCATCCAGTTAAGCAAACATTAACTGAGCACCTACTATGTGCCGGGCACTCTTGCGGGAGCCAGGGCGCAGCAGACCGGTCCCTGCCCTCAGGGAGCTGGCGTTCTGGCAGGGGAGGTAGACAGTAAACTGGCAAGCGGGTAAGTGCAGCGACTTCAGCTGGTCTTCAGCACCGCGCAGTGAATAGAGCGGGAGAGTGGCTTGCGCAGAGATGGGCCAGGGCTTGTCCACAGCAGACGGGGAGGCAGGGCGTGCGCCCCGGAATGGAGCTACCTGGGGTGAGCGCATACCAAGCAGGGGCGCAGCGAGCAAAGGGCCCCGGGGCAGGGCTGAGGAGTAGAGAGCTCAGCATACCTGGAGTGGACGCGCCAGGGACAGGCTGGGACACGATGACTTTGCATGTCATTCTTTTTTTTTTTTTTTCAAGGGGACAGTCTCGCTCTGTTTTGTTGCCCGGGCTAGAGTGCCGTGGCGTCGGCCTAGCTCACAGCAACCTCAAACTCCTGGGCTCAAGCGATCCTCCTGCCTCGGCCTCCCCAGTAGCTGGGACTACAGGCATGCGCCACCATGCCCGGCTAATTTTTTCTATTTATAGTAGAGACGGGGTCTCGCTCTTGCTCAGGCTGGTCTCGAACTCCGAAGCTCAAGCTATCCTCCCGCCCCGGCCTCCCAGAGTGCTAGGATTACAGGCGTGAGCCACCTCGCCCGGCCTGCATGTCATTCTTGTGTCAGAGGAAACCACTGTATACTCGTGCACGCACACAGAAGGTGCTCAATAAGCGCCTGTGAGGAAACAGCACCCTCTGAGTAGACAACATTTGGGATTCTGTTTGTTGCCATTTTGTCCCTTCCCTGCTTCCAAGGAAATTCAGACAACTGCTAACTTCCGTCCAGGAAGCCGCCCTCTGCCAGCCCTCACCAGCATTGCTTTGATGTGCTAACGACTCTTAATGATGGGTCCTAATGAGTCGCTAAAAATGGCATCATCAGGTTGGGGACAGGACAGTCGACAGGAGCGCATGTCCAAACAGCCAGGCGCCTGGCCAGGCAGCGGCCGCCGCCCACCAGCCCGGGCCAGACAGGGCTCAGCCAGCTGCTCTTCCTGCCGCCCCAGGGCCGAGAATCCTCACCCCCAGGCCTGTCGTGGGTGGCTTCATCACTGCCACATGAAGTTCTTCGTTTAAGAATTGAGAAAAAAGGGCCAGGCACTGGTGGCTCACTCCTGTAATCCTATCACTCTGGGAGGCCGAGGTGGGCAGATCACTTGAACTCAGGAGTTCAAGACCAGCCTGGGCAAGAGCGAGACCCCGTCTCTACTATAAATAGAAAGAAATTAATTGGCCAACTAATATATATAGAAAAAATTAGCCGGGCATGGTGGCACATCCCTGTAGTCCCAGCTACTCGGGAGGCTGAGGCAGGAGGATCGCTTGAGCCCAGGAGATTGAGGTTGCTGTGAGCTAGGCTGACGCCACGGCACTCACTCTAGCCTGGGCAACAAAGCGAGACTCTGTCTCAAAAATAAATAAATAAAAATAAAATTGTGAACGTTTAAAAATAACGTCATGAAAACATGTATGTGTGTGTTGCCTATTCTGATTGATGTGACAAGTAGAGCTGTCTGTAAGGTAAAACAAGCTTTCGGTGCTTTCAAGCTTTCCTCGTCACACAAGAGCAAAACAGACCCATGGTCAATGCGCAGCACACGCCACCGTGCGGCTGTGAGCGCGGCCGGTGGGCGAGGTGTCGCGGCCGGTGGGCACCGTCCCGAAGCGGTTAAGACCCAGCCCTTGCTCAGGGCCTCTGGTTCAACGGTGAAGACAAACGTCCTTTCCAAAGTGCTCCGAGAACCGGCCAGCCGCACGGCTGTGCACTGTTTGAGGTTCATGGGAACAGGGGATGTGTGTGTTTATGGAAAAGCAGTCAAACGGCGCAGAAGGCGTTATCATAAAAACAAGCCTCCCGCCCACCCGGCCCTGCGAACCCCTGATTTCCCTTCCCCAAGGCCGTGCTCTCCGGGGAGCCGCATCTGAGGCTGGCCGGGGGCGGCCCCCAAAAGAAACGGCCGTGTCCTAATCCCCGGAACCTGGGAATGTGAGACCTTACTGGAAAGAAGAGTCATTGCAGGTGCAATTAAGGGTCTTGAGATGAGGACATCATCCTGGGGGACCCGGGTGGGCCCTAAATCCGACCACAGCGTCCTTAGAAAATAGACGCAGAGAAGAAGAGGAGACGTGACCACAGGAGCAGAGGCCGAGGGACGCAGCTGCAAGCCACGGAGCGCCAGCAGCCACCTCGAGCTAGGAGGGGCCATGAGAGGGTTGTCCCTGCGTGACTCAGGGTCATGCAAAGAAACGGAGCACTGTTTTTGTTTTGCATATACATGAAAATACACAAAGATGTACGCGGATTATATGTATTTATCTACACGTGTGTATGTGCAGGAATCAGCTCATCTGATCGTGGAGTCTGGTAAAGCCTCCAGATCTGTGGAGTGAGTGAGCGGCCCGGAGACCCCGGGAGAGCCGACGGTCTAGCTCTCGGCCAGAGACCAGCGAGCTCGACGCCCAAGAAGAGCCACCGTTCCCGTTCAGGTTCGGAGGCAAGGAAAAAATGCTGATGTTCGGTCTACATAGTCAAATGTTAATCACATCCGAAAACAGCCTGAGTGATGGACGCTTGGCCGAATATCTGGGCACCTGGGCCTGGGTCAGGGCGACACACAGAATTACCGGCCAGGCTCCCCTGGGGCCTGCGGGGGGGGGGGCGTCTTCTCCCACCCATGTGCACCTGCGCTCGCCCCTGCACGACCGAGGCCCGGAGCTGCCGCCCCCCGAGTGCCCCCTTCTCGAAGGCGGTGCAGATCGCCCTCCGAGGAGGGGATGCCGCAGATTCCTTTTTAAAAGCACGTTTTTTTTTTCTTTTCTCATTATAAAAGTAATCTTTTAGTAGAATTCTTAAGTGTGATTTGATTGCACCCTGTAACTGAAATCTTCCCTAGCAGAACGCAGTCAATGGGAAAATAGCATCAATTACCTGGGATTTTCTCGCGGGCCTGGCCGGACCGCCCTCTCCTGCTAGCACAGGGGCTCTGGCGCTGGGAGTCTGCTTTTCCTCCGGGGGTCTCTGCGGCAGGGCACAGGGTGGGATCTCTGCGCCCGGACGGCCATCTGAAAGCCCACCCCCACCCCAACGCCGGTGACTAATCCCCACCGCCCCCGCGTTCTCTCTTGGGAGAAGAGGAAGGAAAACAGAAAGTCACTTCCCCCATCTGGAGACTCCTATATTTAATGCTGAATGTCCAATTTGTCCTTGTTCTTCATGTTCCCGGACCAGCCTTTGGCTCAGAGGGGACTTCCCTCCTCCTCGCCAAGGCAGAAGCAAGGGCCGCCTCTCCCCGGGCTGCCACCAAACCCTGTCCCCTAGGCAGGGCAGCCGTCTCTCCTCAGCCCTGGGCCTGGGCTGGCCCGCCAGGACAGACGGCCTCCGCTCCGGCCTGCCCAGCAGCCCTGGTCACAACCCCCGCCCCCCGGTGGCCTTAGAGCTGGAGAGACCCTCCCCCCCAGGGCCAGCTTGTCCAGCCCCTGGCTTCAGGGGGGACAAACCCTGGCCAGGAAGCAGTTCATGTGTCCCGGCCACTCCCAGGCACCTGTTGGTGGAAGGGCTGAGCTCTCCGTGGGATAAGGGCAGTGTGGGCCTACCCCACTCTCCCGCCACTGCCAGACCCACTGGGTGCTTGGGTAGCTCGCCGCTGCCGCTCCCCTGCCACGGAGCCCAGGCTGTGCCCAGCTCCAGCCCACACCCATGCCAACCTCCTCAGCTTGCCCGGTCAATTCCTTCTCGCCTCTTACGACTCAGCTCAGACGCCCTGCTGCCCAGGAAGCCTGTCCCGATTTTCTAGCTGGGCTCGGGGGCTCTTCTTGGCGCTTGAGCACATCGCTGTTATCCCTGCCGGATTTCTCATAGTCTGCTTGAGGTCTACCTCCCCGCGACCACCCCGGGGAGCTCTGGGAGGGCGAAGGATAATAAGCCCCAGTCGTCTGTATAGCTCCAGGGACACGTGTTTGTTGAATGAATCAGTAAACAAAGCAGAAGCCAGGTGACAGTCACTGCCATAGAGTGGAAAGAAAGAATCCTAGGCTAGAAATCAGGAGACCTGGATCTTTGCTACTTACTGTTTATTTAGCACTGGGCAAGGCCTCTTACCTGCTGAGGCCTGTTTCCTCATCTGTAAAATGGTGCAATTTGACTTTACATCAGTCAGCGGTTGCTGCTTAACAACCAGCCCTAGAGCCTCGGTGGAGACAGCAATAAGCTCCTCAGCTTGCAATGGGGCTACGTCCTGATCAACCTATCACAGTTGGAAATAGCATAAGTCAAAAGACCGGGCATGGTGGCCCGTGCCTGTAATCCCATGCCGTGTCTCCCAGCTTGAACGCTTTGCCCGCCAGGCGCGGGCTGGTGACAGGCAGGGCCCCGTGCTGAGTGTCCTGGTGGGGCATTCCGTCATGGCCACTGGGTGGCACTCCCGGGAACCGTGCAGGGCACAGCTTGTAAGTCATGCCTGGAGACGCCAGGAGCAGGACAGCTGAGCTTGGGGCCTGACTCCTGGCCCTGCTGTGTCCCTCTCTGGGCATGGAGGGGGCATGTCGGGCCAGCCTCCCACCTTCCTAACTAAAGGTGCCTCCTGCTTCCCCCCCCATAGGAAAGTGAGGAAAAGCCTGAGCCAGCCCACCTGGTTCAACAGAGCCACCTGGTGGGTGTGGCTCGCGGAAGCCACCCCATCGCTTTAGTTGCAGCGTACAACAGAGGAGCAAGAGAAAAAGCACCGTTCTATTCACCCAGCTACTCAGATCCTGGCTGCACAGGGTTTGCCGTGATCAGACTTCGGGTTCCCTGAGCAGCTGCAAACTTCTCTCAGTGACCAGGTGTGGTGATTTCCTTTCTTTGGGTGAGGGCTGGGGTTGTGCCCAGCTCCATTTTTTTTCAACCCCAACGCCCCCAGCACCCCAGTCACGCCCACCAAGGCCATCCCCCGACCCCATGGCAACCCCACGCACCAGCCACCCGAGTGAGCAGCTCCTACCAAAGCTGGCAGTTGGAATGAGGGGGGGGTCCTGCAGCGCAGAAAGAGCCTGCAGGAAGAAACAACAGCTGTCCCCCTCGGGGAGGGGCACCGTTGGGGGTGGGAGCACAGAAGGCGGGTGCGGGACTGGGGTACGGGAAGGAGTCCCGGGGGAGTGGGGGCCGGCTGGCCGGGGCCTGGGGGTCAGGCTGTGGGCTCACAGACGGGAGGTCGTGCCCGGCAGAGCCGACAGGCAGCCCAGGAGCCGGGCGAGCCCGGGGAGAGCAGGAGCCCAGTCCGGGCCACGCACGGCGCCCTGGCCCGTGGCACCTGTGCAGGTGCAGAGCCAGCACCTGCCCCCTGGACACGACACCTGCTCGGGGGAAAGCCCCGTCCTCTCGCGCCCTCCTGGGCTTGCCCCACGGCCGGGAGAACGTGACACGGGTGCTCTCGCCGGGCTCAGGGCTGCTACTCCGCAGCCCCCAACGCTGGCTCCCCGAGAGCCGGGCGTTGCCGGGGTCCCTGGAGTCTGGCCTCACTCTGGGGGCCGAGGCGCAGCCCTGGCCTCCGGAGCTGGCCTCCAGTGGAGGCCGAGAGCAGGCGCTTTGTCTTCTCTCGGGGGCACAGGGCCTGGCTTACGCAGGGCCCTCGGGAAACGCAGGTGCATAGGGCCTCGATCAGGGGGTCAGGGACGCGGCTGTCACCGCCCACGGGGAGAGGAGTTGCTTTCAGTGCGTCCTGCCATCAACCGGCTGGGTGACCCTCCCTCCATCATAAGCCGTCTCCGGGCCCTCGGGTTCTCGCCTGTCAAAGGAGGAGGCCGGAGCGGCCAGTCCAGGCCCCGTGGGCTCTCCCCCCTCCGGCTCTCTGGCCGCCCGGCCGCGCCCTCGATCGTCAGCCCAGCTCGCCTCCCGTGCTGCGCCCCAGAGGCGTGGCCCCCGCCGCCGGGTGCCCCTTCGTGCCCGCCGGGAGCCAGCCTGGGCCGAGGCAGGGGCAGGGGCGTTCCAGGCGCGGTAACTATTGCAAAGTGCGGGTTTAAGTGTTTGGTTTTACGAGGCGGCGGGCCTCTCCGTCTGCAGAAAGCCGCGCGGCTCCCTGGGTGCGAGTTAATTTCCTTCGTGGCTCGTTTCCTCAGCCGCTGTCATTTTTCCTCGGCTACTTTATGGCTTTCGGGGCAGAGCGCGGCGGCGGCAGTGGCTTCGCACGCCGGGGCAGGGGCCCAGAGGGCGGCGGGCCTCGAACCCTGCCCTGGCGGTGTCTGGGAGGGAAGGGCGCGGGAGGAGCCTTGAGGCTGGGCCGGGCGGTGGCCCCCGGCACCTCCTTGTTGACTTGCAGGAACAGGCTAAGGTCAGCGATGGCCGGACTTGCAGGAACAGGCTTAGGTCAGCGATGGCCGGACTTGCAGGAACAGGCTAAGGTCAGCGATGGCCGGACTTGCAGGAACAGGCTAAGGTCAGCGATGGCCGGACTTGCAGGAACAGGCTAAGGTCAGCGATGGCCGGGCTGGCCCGAGTGTGTCAGTCGCCCGCCAAAGACTTTGCCCCGCCCGGGCTCACAGGGAGCAAGGCAGGGCAGAGACGCGGCGGCTTCTGCCTTAGACAGACCTGGATTCCAACCCCAGCCTCGCCCCGCCCTGTCACCGGGACCCGGCGACCCTCCTCGGGCTGCCGTCTCCTCCTCTGCAGAATAGGGGTGTCCCCGGCACCTGCCGGGGCGTGCTAAGGTCTGGAGAGTGACAAAAATGCAAAGCACCCGCCAGGGAGACTCCACGCCCCGAACTGACGTCAGCCCATTTTCCTGAGCCGAGCCTCGCGGTCACCCTGAATGGCTCTCCCACCTCCTCTGTGGGCTGGGGGCCCCTGAGTGTGCAACCTCGTGGCCTCTGGAACACGCCGCGGCCACAGAACCAAGGGCAGCCTCTCTCTCCAGCACCAGGCCTGGCCTTGCACGTGGTGGCGTCCCGACCAGGACCCGTGGGGACCCGGAACCAGCCTGTCAGAGCTGTCGGTCCCATTTAAGGTAAGGGACCCGCAGCTCTGGGGCAGGACAGCATCGCGAGATCACCAGGCTGACCGGAGCCAAGCCGGGAGGCAGCCGTCGGTCCCAGGGTGGACATCCTCAGTGGCCCAGCAAGAGCGGACTCCCTTTCAGAAACCGGTTTTTTCCGAGCCGAGGCTGCAGACGGGCAGTTTGGAGGCCCGGCTGCCTGGTCCCACGTCGCTGGTGGCTCTCAGTACAGATGGAGACAGAACAGGCCAGGGCCGCCTGCTGTGTTGGCAGAAGGGAGCCTATGGGGTCAGAGCGGGGTTTGAACCCACACCGCTATCTGGGGGCCTGAGCAAGTCATAGCTTCCCCTGAGCCTCGATTTTCTCATCTGCAAAATGGGCACAGGAGCTGCTTCCTGGGCCACGTGAAGAGGAGGGACTTAGAGGAGAGGAGGGGTGTGGCCAGCCTCGCCCACGAAGAGCTCGTGGGTTCTGACGCGTGGGGGGTTGGGAGACCAGGCTGCCTTCTAAGCGTTCTGCCAGCTCTGTGCTCAACCTCGAGCAGGCCCCTCTGGGCACACTCCTTTCCGGCCACAAACCCCTTTGAGGCTTCGTTCAATTGTCGGTCCTCTGCCCAGAAAAGTACACGCGGGACCCCACGAGTTTGGCCAGTGCTTTGGAAGGTTCCCGTACCTCCCGAAATGCGTCCCTGGCCCTTGCTTGAGCTCCCCGAGCTGCTGATTGAGCGGTCCCCCCAGTCCCAACCTCTGTGTCTCCAGGTGGGGGTGCACTGCCCCGTCCCTTTCCCACCCAGCAGCACCGGGGTTCACAGATCGGTCCCAACCTGCAGTCCCCCCGGACTGGCCCCTGGGGAGGAAGAGAAGCTACTGCAAAAGTCCACCAAATCCCACGATGGCTTTCTCCACTCGCCTCCCCCTGTGTGGGGCATCTGTGGTTTGTCCCCACATCCATCCTCACCTGCGTTCCCCTTGGGAACATCCCTCCTCCATTCTCAGCCCGGATTGGTGAGCTGATTCCACGCCCACCCTCAGGAGCAGGCCCTGATTGGCCACTCAGCATATCCCCTCCTCCTGGCTGTGGCTATT